TTTGAATCATCTCAAATCATGCTGGAGAACATAATAATTTTTGAGCAGTTCATACAGATCCAGTGCTGCTGTCAGTAAAGCAAAAGAAAGGCAAACAAATACCAAGTTCTAAAATAATTCTTAAATATAAATTTTTTCGAATAAACTTTTTACTCAAGCTCTTATGCTGAGAATGTCAACTGTGTTAAAAAAAAATATATATATATATATATATATATGTGTATGTATTATATTTTAAATTAAGATTGTAAGATACAAGCATTTTCAAAAGACTTTTAGACCCCACTGTACAACATGGTATTGCATGATTACCATATTCAAATACTATGATATTGACATTTCAGATAATACTATGGTATTATCATGGTATAATTTCAAAGAAACCATGATATTACCATGACGCTAATTGATATTGTCCAGAAAGTCTTGCTTTGTTTGGTGCATTCTTTGAAGTTTAGTTGGCTGCTTTTCACGCAGGGTCTGGGGTGCATGTGTGGGAAGCTTTCGAAACTTCCCTCTTTTACGTCTCGTACTTGTGGTCTTTTGTCTGTGCCCTCCGTTTTCTTTTAATTGCCATGTGGAAATGACTCTGTCTGTTGTGCTACGGATTCGCACCCACTCAGATCAATCCCAGCAGCCTCGTGTCAAAGCCGAAGTACGACAGCAGAACAATCGGGCCGCTCTCATACACAAATCGAGGCCATGTAATAATCTCAAAACTCTCTCATCCTCCAGTTATTCTAAATAGTGTAATTTGTGATTAGCTTGATGTAGTCTTACGCGTAGGCACTTAAGTGTGCCTTTTTTCGTCATTAAACCTTCCTACGTATGATAATTGTGTTTCATTTCAGCGGTAGAGGCAGGAAAATCTTATTAAAGCAAAAGCGTGAGAGGATGAGAGAGGAAAAATGTGAAGAAACCAGAAGGGTCTTGTTCCAAAGGGGCCGTCTGCAGCGAAACCCCAAGAGAAATACTTTCATATTGCCTCGATGGCCTCAGCCGTTCCACTGAACAGACCCTAACTACACCGCCGTATCACAAAGCAAATATAAATAATGCGGGTGCAGTAGTGTAAAACATAGCGCAACTTTAATGCCATTTCTGATTTACTCTGAACATTTGTTTTCGTGGCACTGTACACACACATATATATTTATTTACTTGCGACCTGCATGCTAAGTGTCTTGCTTGAGCTACGCGTGTGAATATTTTATTCCTCAGGCTTACAGTTTACTGCATGGGTTCTGTTCTGTGTGTACTGACATCCTCTGTGTTTTCTACACTGGTAACATTTTTTTTCTTCCTTCCCCTGTGCTCTTTTTGTGTGCTGTCTGGATATAAGAAATCACGCAAGGTAATGACTGAAGTCTGAAATCGCTTTCTCGAATCAACATCCTCATTCCCACCAAAAGCAACTGTCCATTTCAGCTTCATTGTCCATTAGTCAAGATCTGGTAGAGGATCAAATGAAACGAAACGAAGCGGAGGGTTTTTTTCCCTCCTCTTCAAACCATTCCATATGCTGAAAGGAACGAGGCAGAGAGAGATTTGGCTTTCACCTCAGACCAGCTGGTATGGGGGCGACGAGGGAGAGAGTTATCATTTGACCACCATTGTTTCATCACCCTTCCAACAACAATGAAATGTCTTCATTAGTCTCGCGTGGGAGGGCCATTAAACTGCCTCACTGTGGATGTAGACTGCGAAAGAAATGCTGCTGGCGTGGGAGAGAAAGGAAGTGTTATCAAGAGAAGAACGAGATGTGAGAGGAAGAGCGCGTGGTACAGAGCTAGGAGTTGTTCTTTTGGCACATTTGTTTTTGGACCCTTCAAGGGTGTCTTACTTTTTTTTTGTTTGTTTGTTTGTTTGAGGTGGTACCATTGACAGTCCTGGCTCACTTGCTGCCCTAGGCAACACAAGACATGACCAAAGAGAAAGACATTCTATAAATAAGTGCGAGACATGATAGTCTAGTGAGAGAGTTTCTTTTTAGAATCCAAGGCGACTTAGATGTTCAGATGTGTAACTTTTGAACCCAAAACTTTTTGAACTTTCGGGTTAGGGTTAGAAGTCTCTTATATTCACCAGTGCTGCATTTATTTGATCAAAAATACAGTAAAAAAAAAAGTAATATTGTAAATTATTATAGCAATTTAAAATAACTATTCTATTTCTATTTGAATATAGTATTATATCTACTTTTTCACACATATACAGTCAAACCAAAATGTATTCAGACACCTTCAACATTTCTCACATTATCACAGTTTATTTGCTATAGCTTAGAAAATGGTAATAAAATATGACAAGAACTCAGAGTTCAAATGTGTCAGAACAAATTAATCTTGATAATGTCAGATAACTTTGATATGTAATGAATTATGTTGAATAGCTGTCAGCTGTTAAATATTAAGTACAAAATTAGATAATACCAATTTAGTCAAAATGATAATTGATTAATAAATGATTATATGTATTTTATCTGCTCCATAAATAATTCTAGATAACTTACCTGAATTGTTTAAATGTGTAGAATCCACATAAGCTTGTTTTTCATCAACCGGTCAAAATATTTACAGCAGGGCATGCAAATTCTGTCAGTTTTTGGCCAGAAAGAAACTGCACGCAAGCTGAATGTAAATATAAGTCTCTGTAAATCCACTCGCTGACAGCAGGTGGCGCTTCTGGAAAAGCTGAATTAGAGCTGTTTCCCGTAACCTCCGTGGACAAAGCAGTATTGCGATTAAGAATGCATTTATTTGATCAAAAATACAGTAAAAAAAAAAGTAATATTGTAAATTATTATAGCAATTTAAAATAACTATTCTATTTCTATTTGAATATAGTATTATATCTACTTTTTCACACATATACAGTCAAACCAAAATGTATTCAGACACCTTCAACATTTCTCACATTATCACAGTTTATTTGCTATAGCTTAGAAAATGGTAATAAAATATGACAAGAACTCAGAGTTCAAATGTGTCAGAACAAATTAATCTTGATAATGTCAGATAACTTTGATATGTAATGAATTATGTTGAATAGCTGTCAGCTGTTAAATATTAAGTACAAAATTAGATAATACCAATTTAGGTCAATTGGAATTAGCAAAAGGAATTGTTGGGTATATTTTGTCACAGTTTACTTTATTTTGCTATCCTCACTTACATAAATGAACTATAGTGTCCTGCACCCACTAGTAAAAAAAAATATCAAAAATTATATCTGGTTGTAACATTATAAATGTCTTTACAGTCACTTTTGATCAATTAAATTCATTCTTGCTTAATAAAATTAGTACTTTTTTTCTGACCCTAAACTTTAGAATGCTAGTATTAGGGATGTAACGGTATTATAGTGACCAAAATTATCACGGTAATCAGTATTATCACGGTATTGTTAAAATGTGCTGGAGATGTTCAAAAAGTACCGACACATAAATCACTTCAAGTTTTATATTTAAAAATCAACAAACAACAAATAAAATGACTTTTTGTTTGCATAATAACATTACCAATGATGTTCAGATTTTAAATGACAACTTGACTGACAACAGTTTAATAGCATGTTGAAATATCTAATGTAAATGTTCAAATAAAGCTTTGAAAAAGTTTCATAAAAAGGTAAACCTCACATTTCAGCCTTTAAATAAAGAAAAGATATAAGTCAAAATGATAATTGATTAATAAATGATTATATGTATTTTATCTGCTCCATAAATAATTCTAGATAACTTATCTGAATTGTTTAAATGTGTAGAATCCACATAAGCTTATTGTTCATCAACCGGTCAAAATGTACAGCAGGGCATGCAAATTCGGTCCGTTTTTGGCCA